TAATCACATGTGGGTTTTTATATGTGAAATTCATGTCATCAATGATAAAAAATAAACATATTTGATATTTGCAGCATTTCGATCTTGAAACTATTTCTGTGCAGAATTAAGAGGCTTCTTCAAACATGTATAACAGAGAATGTGGTTGACCTCACCCACACCAACAAGTTGTGAAACTCAATTGTTCCGGCACAAGAAGGTGTTTCTTTTATTGACCTAAAAGCTCAGACTGTGTTACTGTCAGAGTCCTGTATGATCCCATAGTTCACCTTGACCATAGATCTGCTGTGGCCTCACAACAGCCCTGTTCTCATTAAACTGTCAAGTGAATTTTAAAACCTTTTGAAATGGTGCAAAAAAGAAATGCGAATTAGGCGGAGTTCCATCAACTGGTTTGGAGCGATAAACTAGGCTATGTAGTTTTGTCAACTTGACAAAAATGAAGAGAAGTCCTCAGGAATTAGTTTCAATTTGGCAAGTTTGAATTGTCCTTCATGTCGACTGGTGTTGGCCATGTTTCATGTTGTTTGGTGACAAAGACAATATAAATATACATCCATAAAGACGGTGACAGAAGAAACAGCTGATCAGTCATGTGAGTTAATGTTCGCGACGTCAGAATGTATTTGGCAAAGACGTTTACACATCCTATTTGCCCATCAACTCTTTTTCAACAAAGGCCAAAAACCACCTCAAGCGGGCATAACATCTTTTTGCACAATTGAGGAAGTTTTGTTATATTTTGTGGGTTTTAGACAGGATTTTCGGCTGAAGTTTTTCTGGCTTTTCTGCGTTACACGTGATTGTACTTATGCACAATATATCGGTGGCCAATATATATTTGGCTGAAAAGGAAGATCATTTATAGTATTATTGTGTTAATAATGGTATTCCAGCTGATAACTATGATATTGAATGAAAGATGCCACAAAACTGTTGGCCAGTTTACAGTAAAAGACCTGCTGCCTCTCTAAACGCTGGAGTCAAACAGCAGCTGAAAGACAACACATCATGAAAAACTCTCTTGTTCAGTGCTTGTGCAAATATATTTGTGTATCTGAAGTATGAAATAACACATCCAGTCAGTTCTTTGTGGGCCATCCAGATCAGAAAACATGTGATTCAACAAGCCATTCAGATTTGCTCCACTTACACATGCAGCTTCCTCAGAATAAACCGCCCCCCATCAGAGTATCTCCACCCATGGCTTGAGAACTACCTTTACAACAGTGCTGCATATGTACCTCATGAGCCAATCAGAGCAGACTGGGCTTTACAGGAGGGGGACTTAAAGGTACAGTGCGTGGTACATTTCAGGGGATCTATCAGCAGAAATGGAATATGATGATTATGACAATGTTTTTATTAATGTCTTTATTAGTCTAACACTATGTAAAGTTATTAGTATTTTGGTAGCATTACATGCTAATCAATAAACTGATCAGTTCTTTCATTAATAAATCTACATGTCAATATAATAAAGGTTATTCTCTATTCTAGAGATGGTGAAGGTTCTCTAAATATGTTATGTCTCGAAATGCTGTTCTAAAAATACGTATTTACTTTCCTTCGTCTTTGAATCCGGTTCCAACGAGCAGACTGAACAGTGTTTTTGTCTGAACAGGAGGCGCATACAGTATATACTGTATTTGTTCCTTCTCACCATCTCTGGGATTCCTCCTCCACATTTTCGCTTATTTTTCTTCCACCACATTTCACTCAGCTGTCTAGTTATATTTACATCCATGTTCTGACCCTCCTCTTCCTGTCCACAGTTTGCCAGGTGGAGCGATACACACTTAGGGTCATATAGAGAGGCCTGATTGACATTATATTTTAATTATTCGTGCAGCCTTAGATGAATACATTTTTTATTATGATTAATATTAAGAAAATAATCCTCTTTCATGTAGCACACAGTACAGTGTTATGTCTCCCTACTGCAGCTTGAAAAGAGAGCTGAGTATATCAGTATAGTATCAGGTATGGATGCTTGGATTGAACTGCTCAAAATAGTGTTTTGTTACCCTTCTATTAATCACAGTGATTATAACTGCACTGTCACGTCACAGATGTGTTTGTATTTGATACAAATTTCCAGTGTTTTAAACTGTTATGTTCCTCATACATCTCGAAATATGTGAACCTGTTCCTCAAAACAGGTTTGACTCTATAGGTGGCAGTGAGTATGTGATCAAGTCTCCTAAATAGGATGTAGTGTCACTTTTTGCTGGCCAATCAAACAGTCTTGTGAGTGAAACGTGTAGAAGGATCTAGATTGTTCTCATTCAACACAAGAATTTGAACACGATGACATCTCCAAAGTTTGTCTTCTATCTGACATGTTTGTTCTTGGGGAAAATGGGTGAGTTGTGTTTTTTGTGATTGCAGTTTGGATCTTTTAAAGTGTGTGAACACTCCTCGTGACATTGCTTCTGATGTGTTGATTCATGTTATCATGAAGTGTATTTGCTTCGTCTCTCCTATCACTACAGTTCAGACGACCGATCTGAATTTCTCCTCATCTGTTCATCAAGAGAATAGTTTTCTATCAGTTCAAACTGGGGAAAACTTGACGTTGCAATGTTCCTATGAAGACGTTTTTGCAGTAAGGCTTTACTGGTATAAACAGATTATTGGACAGAAACTGAGGCACATCTCTACCTTCTACAAGTACGACAGAAAAGCAACTTTTCATGCTGAATTCAAGAATCCACGCTTCACATTGGACGCTGCAGTCGGTAAATATCACTTGAGGATAACAGATCTGCAAATTTCGGACTCAGCTACTTACTACTGCGCAAGTAGCTATACAGTCGACTTGGATTTCAAGGAGGGCACTTTTGTCAGTGTAAAGGATTCAGGTTTGAACGTCGCAGCTTTGGTCCATCAGTCAGCATCTGAGACCATCCAGACAGGAGGCTCTGTGACTCTGAACTGTACAGTTCACACTGGGACCTGTGATGGACAACACAGTGTTTACTGGTTCAAAGACTCTGAAGCATCTCATCCAGGACTCATTTACACTGATGGAGGCAGGAATGATCAGTGTGAGAGGAAACCCAACACACAGACACACACCTGTGTCTACAACCTGCCGATGAAGAGCCTGAATCCGTCTCATGCTGGGACTTACTACTGTGCTGTTGCCTCGTGTGGACACATACTGTTTGGAGACGGGACCAAGCTGGACTTTGAGGGTGAGAGGTTTTATTTATTGTTCATATTCATATAGTCAGTATGATACTTCCACAGGCAATATACAATACATGTAAAAATATATATTGTCTTATTGTAAGTAATCAACTTGAGAAGATTCATGTTGATATATCTATTAGTTAACTTTTCACCTTATTCACCTGTTGTGTCTCCTCTTAAGACTTCAGCTCTGTAATGTCTCCTGGTGTCTGTCTCTCTACAGATGAGGAGGACTCTCTTGTCTTGGTGTATTTCTTGAGTGGAGCTTTAGCATTCACTATCATCCTGAGTGTCTTACTGGTTTTCTTACTGTGCATGATGAACAAGAGAAACCGCTGTGAATGTACAGGTACTGTAACTACTATTCTTTGTGGCTGACAGTGTGTGCTCACTTAACACGGTTTTATAGTGCGGGGCACTTTTTATTCTTTTACAGAGTCTCATGCAAGATGTTCAGCTCCCACCACAACAAATGCAGAGGTATTGTTTGTGCAGATTATCTACTGTTTTACCATTCAAACATTCAGGCACAGCAATGCTTCTGGACACAGTTTTTATATGTCTCTCAAGTACAATATTGTGGTTTATATTTTGTTACCAGGGTGAAAGAAATGAAGAAAACATCCATTACGCGGTTGTAAGGGAACACAGGGTCAACAGATCTAGAAGACAAAGGAACATCACAGAGACTGAATGCACGTACTCAAGTATAAAGCAGTAGAAGTGTACATGCTTCCAAGTGTTTCCAAGCAAGCCCATGAGACAGAAATTGTCTTATCATTATGTCTTTCTTGTGACTATGAGTTGAAGCAGCCAGTGTTACTCCTTTCCTAAAAGATGTGTTGATTCAAACTGTTACTTTAGGGCGTTGGTTTGCGTTGGCTTGGACTGAATTAACTGTATTGAACGGGAAAAAGTTAAATTAAATTAACTGATGAATTACCATTCAGACACGTTTTTCAAATTGGACGATGCATTGTTTCCTGGATATTGTTTAATCTACTAATGATCAAATTATATATGATCTGTTACCAGGGTTACCAACATGCAGAAATCCTGTATTATGCGTCTTTAAGTGTCCACCTGCACAACGGATCAAGAAGACAGAGGGATCAGACCTGGAGTGAATGTGTGTACTACAGCGTGAAGCAGTAGAACTGGACAAATTACATTTGTACTTTTGAGCAAGACAGTGTTTTCTCTTTTAAAGTGAAATGGAGATTTATATCTTAGTTGGAAATCAATAGGATTTTATATCGTCTTCGTAGTCTGCAGCCAATATTAAATCTTTCTATTCTTCGCTAATGTGCATATTTAGGATACTCATTTGTTCTCTGTGTGGTCTGAAGAAGGTTATCTTTAAACCATGTATCTTGTTCATTTTTACAAATAAATGATTTTTATGTCTTAACCAGTACATTTAGAAGCTCAGATTCACCGACCATGTAAAAGTCACTCAAATGCTTCTAGCTTTAAGATCATCTCATACTTTATGTGTTCATCCTCATTGTTGTTTTCTATAACTTAATCACATGTGGGTTTTTATATGTGAAATTCATGTCATCAATGATAAAAAATAAACATATTTGATATTTGCAGCATTTCGATCTTGAAACTATTTCTGTGCAGAATTAAGAGGCTTCTTCAAACATGTATAACAGAGAATGTGGTTGACCTCACCCACACCAACAAGTTGTGAAACTCAATTGTTCCGGCACAAGAAGGTGTTTCTTTTATTGACCTAAAAGCTCAGACTGTGTTACTGTCAGAGTCCTGTATGATCCCATAGTTCACCTTGACCATAGATCTGCTGTGGCCTCACAACAGCCCTGTTCTCATTAAACTGTCAAGTGAATTTTAAAACCTTTTGAAATGGTGCAAAAAAGAAATGCGAATTAGGCGGAGTTCCATCAACTGGTTTGGAGCGATAAACTAGGCTATGTAGTTTTGTCAACTTGACAAAAATGAAGAGAAGTCCTCAGGAATTAGTTTCAATTTGGCAAGTTTGAATTGTCCTTCATGTCGACTGGTGTTGGCCATGTTTCATGTTGTTTGGTGACAAAGACAATATAAATATACATCCATAAAGACGGTGACAGAAGAAACAGCTGATCAGTCATGTGAGTTAATGTTCGCGACGTCAGAATGTATTTGGCAAAGACGTTTACACATCCTATTTGCCCATCAACTCTTTTTCAACAAAGGCCAAAAACCACCTCAAGCGGGCATAACATCTTTTTGCACAATTGAGGAAGTTTTGTTATATTTTGTGGGTTTTAGACAGGATTTTCGGCTGAAGTTTTTCTGGCTTTTCTGCGTTACACGTGATTGTACTTATGCACAATATATCGGTGGCCAATATATATTTGGCTGAAAAGGAAGATCATTTATAGTATTATTGTGTTAATAATGGTATTCCAGCTGATAACTATGATATTGAATGAAAGATGCCACAAAACTGTTGGCCAGTTTACAGTAAAAGACCTGCTGCCTCTCTAAACGCTGGAGTCAAACAGCAGCTGAAAGACAACACATCATGAAAAACTCTCTTGTTCAGTGCTTGTGCAAATATATTTGTGTATCTGAAGTATGAAATAACACATCCAGTCAGTTCTTTGTGGGCCATCCAGATCAGAAAACATGTGATTCAACAAGCCATTCAGATTTGCTCCACTTACACATGCAGCTTCCTCAGAATAAACCGCCCCCCATCAGAGTATCTCCACCCATGGCTTGAGAACTACCTTTACAACAGTGCTGCATATGTACCTCATGAGCCAATCAGAGCAGACTGGGCTTTACAGGAGGGGGACTTAAAGGTACAGTGCGTGGTACATTTCAGGGGATCTATCAGCAGAAATGGAATATGATGATTATGACAATGTTTTTATTAATGTCTTTATTAGTCTAACACTATGTAAAGTTATTAGTATTTTGGTAGCATTACATGCTAATCAATAAACTGATCAGTTCTTTCATTAATAAATCTACATGTCAATATAATAAAGGTTATTCTCTATTCTAGAGATGGTGAAGGTTCTCTAAATATGTTATGTCTCGAAATGCTGTTCTAAAAATACGTATTTACTTTCCTTCGTCTTTGAATCCGGTTCCAACGAGCAGACTGAACAGTGTTTTTGTCTGAACAGGAGGCGCATACAGTATATACTGTATTTGTTCCTTCTCACCATCTCTGGGATTCCTCCTCCACATTTTCGCTTATTTTTCTTCCACCACATTTCACTCAGCTGTCTAGTTATATTTACATCCATGTTCTGACCCTCCTCTTCCTGTCCACAGTTTGCCAGGTGGAGCGATACACACTTAGGGTCATATAGAGAGGCCTGATTGACATTATATTTTAATTATTCGTGCAGCCTTAGATGAATACATTTTTTATTATGATTAATATTAAGAAAATAATCCTCTTTCATGTAGCACACAGTACAGTGTTATGTCTCCCTACTGCAGCTTGAAAAGAGAGCTGAGTATATCAGTATAGTATCAGGTATGGATGCTTGGATTGAACTGCTCAAAATAGTGTTTTGTTACC